TACCTTGAATCCTGTCGACGTCCAAGAGCTCTGGAAAGCCTACGCTGCTACCTTGTCTCTTTTGGCCTCGAGCTTTCCCGTCGACCAACTCCCCCAAGAAGACTACATGTTGGAGGAGGATACGGATACGATTGGTTTTGAGCCGCTCATTTCCCCGGACACCATGAAGCTCTGGTATAAGGGGGATGTAATGAAGCAGAAGTGGACTGAGCTGGAGCGCAACCACCCCAATGTCGAGATGCTCATGCGAGTGAAGGATTTGCTGATCGATGGTCTGCTCCTCACGCAGATTGACGATGCACCACTGGACTTGGCGGGCCCGCGATTTATCTACCGAGAAGAAGGATTACCATCGGAGCTTCTGGCGAGCCCAACGACCCGACCTGATGGATCTCCTGTTCTTTCAGTCCAGGCCACCGATATACCTCTGTTCAAGCACACAGAGGCGCCTATTCCAGACGACCAGAAGTCACACTCTGTTGCGGCAGCTTCAGAATCTGCATCCACTACGCTTGCTAAGGACAATGCGATGCGCAACATGGTGGACGATCTAGTAGGCGACGAGACCGCACTGGACCCTTTAGTTGAAGAAGACGAGAATATCCCACCTACGCCACCAGAGCAGACATTTGACGACACGGCCGTTGTCAACGACAATACATTTGTGCCGGGAGCATTGTCGATCAACGACTTGGTCAACTCAGTTAGGAACTACAAGCCCTTGTCTCCTGCTCCGATGCCTGCCATGCTCTCCACACCGATGGGTAGGTCGGGTTCTACGTCTTCCATCCGTCAGCCACCGAACCTACCTTCTGTGCCAGATGGTCAGTGGAATTCCAACTCCATCTGGAATCGCACGCCCGGTCCGGCGTCTCCCTCTATGCTGAATACCAACGGCCTTGGCAACGATCTCCGTCGCCCTTCAATGAATGATAAACCCCGGATGTCTGGTCATGTGCGAGGGGATTCAGCGAATTCGCTTCTGAGTGTCGAGGCTGGTACTCCTACTGCTACTAGAGCTCCCAGCGGTATCGGCAGTGGCGCTGCATGGGGAAATCACGTCAGCAGCCCCTCGAACTGGGGATCGCCATATGGCAGCGACTTGAACAACAACCACCAGTATGGATACGCAAATGGAGCAAACATGGCGAGCCCGCTTCTGTTCAGCTCCTACCGGGGTAATGCCGAGAGCTCCTGGGGGCGCACTCCTCCCAACGGCCAAGGCGGCTGATCCAACGCCAGCGCAGCCGTAGCAGGCTGCTCAATGCTGTCTTATCATCAGTCGTTACCGTCGCTAGACATACGGTTCGCCAGATTACCAACCTGGTTACTACAAGACTGTCGTGTCAGAGTTGGAGAGCTCCGTTGGATGGGTTACGAGCGAACTCTCCAGCCAAGTGAGCGTGGGTGCTCTTCCGCATGCGGTATGTGTGCTCCCATCATGCTTCGCTTGCATGCCATGACTTGTCCAGAGCACCATCGAAGATCAAGGGAAGGTAGTAAGATGGGACGATTTGCTTTACAGACTGAAATTATTGCGTTATTGCATGGGTTGATCTTGCGGGCCAGCCAGGCTGTGATCTGGCTTGAGAAATGACTTGTCTTCCAGATGACCCAAGGCCTTGAGCTTCTGGATGGGAGATGAGTCGAGTCTCAACAGCCCATGCCTGGTCCGGAAGCTCTACTTTACTTTATAGATTTAACAAGGAGTTATGCGTATGACCGCAGGCCTCATAGTTGCTGTGATGTTAAGCTATGTTTCTACAGGATGCCTTTCCTCATTCCTAGTATGCACGACAAGATGCTCCACGCGGCTGCACTTACCTTGCTCGATTCGGGACTTTACGTGTCGGTGCAATTCTTAGCGCGAAGCTTGCTGCCCCTCGTTGTCCGAAACCCTGCCCCACATTCAGCACTTTCACTCCATTACGACACCAACGTCTTTTATTATACACACACAACAAACACAATGCCTGGAAACTACGAACTATTCTGCCTCGAGAACCCGCTTCTGGACATCCAGGGTGTAGGGTAAGTCCATGTTTTCCTTCAACTGAGGTCGCAATGCTTTGCAGCAGTTGCGGAGGAGCACCACAGTGAGCTTTTGCTAATGGCTGGCAGTGACCAGGCTCTTCTCGACAAGTATGGCTTGAAGGCCAACGATGCGATCCTCGCCGACCCCGAGAAGCACATGGGCCTGTACGAGGACCTTCTCCAGAACTACAAAGCCGTCCTGATCGCTGGTGGTGCCGCCCAGAACACTGCCCGCGGTGCGGCTTACATCCTCGAGCCCAACTCGGTCGTATACGTTGGCTGCATTGGCAAGGACAAGTACGGCGAGACTCTCGAGAAGATCTCAGCCGATGCTGGTGTCAAGACCGAGTACCTCTACGATGAGAAGACTCCCACTGGTCGCTGTGGTGTTGTCATCACTGGCCACAACCGCTCCATGTGCACCGACCTCGCCGCTGCCAACAACTACAAGATCGACCACTTGAAGGAGGAGCGCATCTGGAAGCAGGTCGAGAACGCCAAGGTCTACTACGTTGGTGGCTTCCACTTGACCGTCTGTGTCCCAGCCGTCAAGGCCCTGGCCGAGGAGGCTGCCGCTAAGGACAAGGTATGAAGATCTTGGATGTGTTAAGAAAACGGCAGTGCGCTAATAGCTTTCTAGCAATTCATCCTCAACCTTTCCGCGCCCTTCATCTCGCAATTCTTCAAGGACCCTCTCGACGAGGTCCTCCCCTACGTCGACATCGTCATCGGCAACGAGACCGAGGCCGCCGCATTCGCCGAGGCACATGGCTGGGAGACCAAGGACGTCAAGGAGATTGCTAAGAAGCTTGCCAACACACCCAAGCAGAACAGCAAGCGACCCAGGACTGTCGTCTTCACCCAAGGCACCGACCCAACCATTGCCGTGACCGCAAAGGAGGGCGGTGACGCTGACGTCAAGGAGTTCTCCGTCCACGCCATCAAGGAGGAGCAGATCAACGACACCAACGGTGCCGGTGACGCGTTCGCCGGTGGTTTCGTCGCTGGTATCGTCCAGGGCAAGCCGCTCGACAAGGCCATCGACATGGGTCAATGGCTTGCCAAGCTCAGCATCCAGGAGCTGGGCCCTTCATACCCCCAGCCCAAGCAAACTTACAGCAGCTAAGCGTCTTCACACTGAGTGAGCGCTGAAGCTCGTGTATTTCAACAATCTACGAGGGCATGCCATCGCGAGCAGGTTCGTGCTTGCCGTACCTAGCGACTGCCATCGATGTGCGCAGCTAGGTATAGGCTTCGTCGAGGCATCTTGGAGGTGTTTCTGGCGTAAGACAAAAAGTAGAATCTGGCCTTTCAACAGCTGGAGATAGATACCCTCAGCTTTGATGCTGCTAAATGAATGAACAAATGAATGAATCAAAACAGACACATATTTCATTGGTCATCGATGTTACACTTACGACAAGAAGCTTTATTGATGCTAATGAATGGAAGGAGAAGCGCGCCATCGCATAGACAGAGCGAAGTTGTGGAGAATGTTGTCAAGGTACGGAGCAAAACAAAATCTGTGGAATAGGCAGACACCATATAATAGCTCTCTAAGCTATAACGAAGAATTATACTTCTTCCCCGCGAGCAAAAAAGGGCGGAGCTCTCTCTATGTTAAGAGACCTCGAAATGCGATGACAAAAAAAAAGAAGTTGTGTTATGCCCACTACCCGAATCTAGAGGACTGTTAGAAGGGGAATTCGAAGTGTGGAACTCATGAGTTGAAGCTTACCGAACGAGTGATCTTCGCATTACAAGTGCGACGCCTTACCGCTTGCTATTGAGGTTGTTAGGACATGTTTCATGCAGTTGGATGAACAGTCAAACTTACGCCAAGCGGGCCTGTTACAACAGGATTGATGGCAAAAAGTCCAAAGGGTAACACTATGTTCTTGGGCAATGCATGAATTTTGGCTATGTGGTGGGCAATGGTGGGCCTGGAGGGGTAGACTGGCCGAGTCCGCAGCCAGTGCGGGGCAGGAATGACACCACGCTTCTGTGCATTGGTAACGATGCTTAGTGGGGCTCTACTATTTATTGGTTTCAGCTGGGTCGAGTGCGCTTTGGCACTGGTTGTAAGAGTGTAGGTACATCACTGAGATAAGGTGATGAAGTGAAGCGCTTAGTCCATGATCCTCGATTTCTGATACACATTGAAAAGGTTCCGCTCAACGTCGTGTAGCTGTGGCTACCTGATTGCTACCAACAGGACCAGCGGTGGCTTCATCGGTTACGGGCGTGGCTTACCAGGTGTCTTGAACCACAATAATTCTCGAGAGATGCATGATGCACCTTGGCTGAGCATTGCTGATATTGGAAGCTGTTGTTTACTGACATGCGAACTGACTATTTGCACGTGAGGATGGCATATCTTGCTGCAGATTAGGATTCAAATAGGCTTAGTTATGGAACGAATATTTTTGGAACCATGGCGGAAACCTTCCGACATGGTTGCCAAAAACCAAAGAGCCTATTTCGAACTCTGAGATCGTTGATCGTGCGCAAATAGTTGTGATAAATGGATGACACTGCTGCAAACCTTGGAATGTGACTCGGCGCGCGTACTTAGCAAGCGGGTTCAGAACATCCATGGGTGGCCTGGAGATTCGGTATGTAGCATCCACGATATTAGGCGGCAGCCTCTATCACCCATCCTATAGTTGTTGGGAGAGCAATCGCAACAATGCTGATTCACCAACTACCCCCTGGGTTATTAGTGTTCCGTGGCGAAGGCTGATCATTCAAGGTTAGCCTCACCTTTGTCCCGTAGTTCGAGCGTAAGCTCCGACCACCGCTACATCATCGCCGCTGTAAAGGCAACACGTAGACCAAGACTTTCACCCTACATCACATTTCCACACTACAGTCCTTTCCGATATAAACCTCTGTCGCAGAATCTGGCATCCGATCACACACAACTCAAAACCTCAATCTAGAATCAGACAAGCCGAATACCTACGATGGCGGACAGCGGCGTGGACATCGCATCCCTCACAGCCGACCAGCAAGCCGCACTCCAGCAATACACCGCCGTTACCGATCAAGCGACGTCCGACGCGATACCAATTCTCCAGCGCGCGCAATGGAATGTCAACATAGCAGTAACCCGCTTCTTCGACGGCGAACCGACCGAAGACCCAGTCGCTGCCGCCGCCGCTCAATTACCACCGCCCCAAGACATCCGCCGACAAGAGACACTGTTGAATGGTTTTGCTTCACCACGATCCTCAACAAGTAGTGGGAGGAGAGTCAGGATAGAGCCTGCGCCGAGGGTGGTCCCGCAGCCAGAAAGCCAGGTCACCACACAAGTTCCGCTGGTGCTTGCGATATTCTTTGCGCCATTCTCGCTCGTGTACTCGTTATTCGCGAAGTCTTTCCGACTATTAGGCTGGCTATTCCCCTTCCTACCCCGCGCATGGGGGAGGGTGACGGCTAGCAATATCAACACACCCGCCTCTCAACGCAGCGCAAGCGGACGCCGACCTTTGAACCCACGAGATACAGCGGCGCGGTTCATCCGCGAGTTCGAGGAGGAATATGGAAGCCACACCCTGCCGTTCTTCGAGAGCGGATACGCGCAAGCCTTCGATCTGGCCAAGAAGAACCTACAATTCCTGATGGTCGTGCTGGTCAGTCCCGAGCACGATGAGACGTCTTCTTTCATAAAGGACACACTTTTCGCACCAGAGGTCGTGGAGTTTGTACGGAACCCCGAGAACAATATAATACTGTGGGCGGGCAATGTGCAAGATTCGGAGGCATACCAGGTTTCTGCTGCGCTATCGTGCACGAAGTTTCCTTTTACTGGCCTTATCGTACACACACCGCAAGTGTCGTCGACAGCTATGGGCATCGCGGCGCGCGTAGCCGGTCCTACAACTCCACAGCAGTACATCGCAAAGCTAAGACAGGCGATGCAGCAACACACAGAGCCGCTGAATCGCGTACGCAGTCAGCGCGCTGAACAGCAGGCGACAAGGAATATCCGAGAACAACAGAACAGCGCATATGAACGCTCACTTGCAGCGGACCGAGAAAAGGCGCGCAAGAAGAAGGAGGAAGCGGAGCGGAAAGCCCGAGAAGAAAAGGAAGCACTTGAGCGCGAACAAGCCATTGAACGATACGCACAAAACCTCGCCCAATGGCGCAAATGGCGCGCCGCATCAATTCGCTCTGAGCCCAGTCCCGAGGAAAAGGACATCGTACGCATCAGTCTTCGCATGCCTAATGCCGAGCGTGTGGTCCGCAAATTCGCCGCGGATGCTCATATCGAGGAACTCTACGCGTTCGTTGAATGCTACGATATCCTGCAGTCTGAAGAAGGCGCACAGGAGAAGGTCGAAGAGCCAAAGGATTTTGAGCATGAGTACAAGTTCCAGCTGGTCAGTCCTATGCCGCGCGAGGTGTACGAACTCAAGACTGGTGGCACGATCAAGGAGCGCATTGGACGAAGTGGTAATCTGATCGTTGAGCGGACGGACCTTGAGGATGAAGAAGACGAGGATGAGGAGTAATCGCATGAATATAGTCATTGCGCTGGCGTTACGCATTTCTGCTCGACTTAGCGTGGGACGTGGACATCCACTGACGTTTTTGATATGATAGATACGTTGGTTACGAATGTGAAAATGTATGTACGGCCAAACACGTACATCTCTACTATATGCAGTTCTATTTTTATCCTTTTGAGCCAGATTGCCCTATAAGTATTTGCAAGACGATGAACACAGCCACAACTGTGCTTCGAGTGCTTGTATCGGGTAGGCTACGGCTGTCTCGGGTGCACGGGCCATATCTTAGTGCCGCTCCCGGTTTCGTCGACGGGTGACGCATCACAAGCGTAGATCGTCCAATCTGCCCATCGCGTTCCTCCAGACAAGCCTCCGATATGATCGCATCAACAACATAACATGGACAGAGCGAAGACTCGCAAGCCTCATAAGAAGTCGCGAAACGGCTGCTTACCGTGCAAAGGCCGACATGTCAAAGTGCGCCTTCCCATTCGAGTTACGAATTCTACTTGCGACTAACAAACTTCAAAGTGCGATGAACAGAGGCCCAACTGCGCAAACTGCGTGAAGCAAGGCACGGTGTGTGAATACCGGCCTTCCACCAACCGCGAGAGTCGTGAGGCGTCCCACGTATCGCCTTTGCCGGCTGGAACACCAGCTTTTACGCCGTCATCCACAGATGGTCATGCCAATGCTCTTGATCAGCAACCATTACCAGAGTTTGGAACTATCGATCTTAATGGCGCATCCAGCCGGCCTGATTTGACGCTGAATATACCTCAACTACGGTTGCTCCAGTACGTCCTTTCAATTCCATCTTGACGCTTTGAGAGTGTCTCACTCTATCTCCAAGACCGGTCATAACTTTCGGTCACCAGAACATATTCACTGCTTACGGAAAGAATCAAAAAATCTGAACTGACTCCGTGCGCAGTCACTATACTAATGTCACCGCCAAAACCCTCGCAGCGAATAATACTGATGCTGAGGATGTGTGCTCGACATTTCTGATACAGACAGCTTTCGATCATCCCTACCTCCTTCAGGCAGCTCTTGCTCTCAGCGCGCTACACCTGAGTCGGACTTCAGCTCCAGAAGAGGCTCCGCAATACTCGTACCAGGCCGAGAAGTACCATGACGCAGCTCTACTTAGTTTCCAAACATCGGTTCGCGACATCGATCATTCGAACTTCAAAGCGGTCCTTCTGTTCGCCGGAGTCCTATTCCCACACGCATGTGTAGCTTCAGTTGCAGCTCACTCGGATATGGAGCACGCGTTCGACAGCGTGCTTTCTAATCTGGTTTTGACCCGGAGGATACGGCCCATGGTGACTGGCTTTTACACGGAAATGAAGGCGAGCGAGTTGGGCCGCATGATTCCGGACGACGTCAAAGATATTGATTGGATGACAGAAGAACAACCACCCAATACTGAACTTGTGCAACTGCGTAAGTTCTCGGAGGTCGTCCATCATGTCTATCCTCCCGATATCGTGGATGCATATGGCTTTGCCTGCCATATCCTCGAACTGGTCTTCCAGGTCGCGGAAAAGTCTGATAAGCCGCCTTCCGACGCGTTGCTGAAGATTTGGATCCACCTCATCTCAAATCGCTATATCGAGCTTCTATCGGAGAAGCAGCCGGGATCTCTAATCATCTTTGCACATTACGCGGTCATGATGCACAGAGCGGCAGCGAGTTATTGGTATCTGGAGGGGCTCGCAGAGCAGATACTCAAGATCGCGGATCACATGGTCCCTAGCGAGTGGAAGCAGTGGCTTCATTGGCCCAAGGAGCAGATACGAGGTGGCTCTGTTCCGCCGACACCATATTCTGGACATGCGACATGAAGCCTTGGAACTTTTCTTGGCATTCGACATTTTTATCATTGTGCGCCGAGCTGTGTACGCTCCCGACCTGCTGCAAAAGGCGAGATGTTCCTCCATGGAACAAATCCTCCGACGCAGGCTATGCTGCCCGTTGCGGAGACGCGGAGGTTGCAAACATGCTTGATTACCGCCAGCTTGCGCACAACTATTGCATCGAAACAACATCCCTACGCCAAATCAGTATTGATTATTCCTTCCACCAGACTGCTTTGGGATATGCTTGCGAAGAATGTGTGGCTGGCTTGACGAAGTCTTGTGTCGTAAGTGGAATCAGGCTAGGCTCGAGTATCCGCATGTTGACTGATCAGGTAGACTACCTTTACAGGACTTGGCTGGTCAGCGTAGAACACGACCATTCGAAGCGATGATAGTTATCAGGGGGAGGCTGTGCGAAACGTGCGAAGCAGCTGACTTATCTACTTGCACGCACCACGTCAAGATTTACGACGTATTCTAGAAGCGACATTGAAGACTTCCTCCTGCTACCCCGTGTTTGACACCACTACACGCGAGGAACTAATGTAGGATGTTCGAGGAAAGAACAAAAAAGGTGGAGCTCAGTATTCGGGCAGCAATGCGATTGGCGCGTCGTATCTGGACGCGCTAGTCGTATGCACAGATCCTTCTCCTTCTCTATCCGAAATGTCTACGCTCCCAACAGAAGGCGGGAACGTTGCTCGGGCAATCTACGTACGGGTCCAGGGACTCTAGATACGGGATACGCTAGGTGGGCTGTGCCCCGCGGCTTCTCGTTATGACTTCTATACATAAAGACGTTGCTATACTCTTCTCCATCAGCCAGCCTCAGTCCACATACCAACAGTCCAACAGTGTATTACCACGGACACTTCCCAATCTTCCAAATACATTGCCACAACTGTTCAATTTGATTCCGTGGTACCACAAGGGCTCTTGCCTCAAACCCCCTTCCTCCCACCCAAGATGTCGACACCGGGACCAGTAGACGACTCAAACGCGATACCAGAGTACGTACTCTGGCCGTACACACCTACCATCGCGGCCGGCGCCATTACTGCCGTGATCATGTTCATACTGTTCTTCATCCACACATACCGCCTTGTCAAGAACAGGACATGGTTCTGCATACCCTTCGTCATCGGAGCTCTGGTATGTATTCAATCCCCCCTCCACCCCTCCAGCTTCTGGTTACAAAAGCTGCTTAACCCAAGAAAACACATGCTAACACCCACTCCAGTGCGAAGCCATAGGCTACTCCGCCCGAGCCGCAGCCCACAACGACACCGAGAACAAAACCCCGTACATCATCCAATCCACGCTCATCCTCCTCGCACCCATCCTCTTCGCAGCTTCCATCTACATGATCCTCGGTCGCCTCATTCGCCGCACAGACTCTGCTGAGTACTCGTTGATCCGCGTAAACTGGTTGACCAAGCTCTTTGTTGGCGGCGACATTCTCTGCTTGTACGTCCCCAAAAAACAACACAACACAACGCAACTCTCATCAGTCATCCATCATGCTAACATAATATCCTAGTATGATCCAAGGCGGTGGCGCCGGCATGCTCGTATCCGCCTCGGACGCCGACGGCTTCAAACGCGGCGAAAACATCATCCTCGGCGGCCTCATTCTCCAAATCCTCATCTTCGGCTTCTTCGTCGTCGTAGCGGGTATCTGGCACGTAAGACTCCAAAAGGGACCTACAGCTGCGTCGGCGGATATTCCGTGGACGAAGTTGATCTGGTTTTTGTATGCGGCTAGTGTGTGCATTACTATTCGTAACCTTTGTAGGGTTATTGAGTATGCGATGGGCAAGGTATGTTTTTGATCCTTTCGATTGGTTGTTGAGTGCACTGCTAATGCGTGGATGTAGGATGGTTATCTGCTGTCTCATGAGTGGCCGATCTATGTATACGACTTTTTGCCTATGATGATTACGCTTATTGTGTGTGTTTGGTGGTATGACCCCAACATTAAGCCGGCTCGCAAGGGAGATATTGAGTTCGCTCGCCGATAGACAGGGTTGGGGTTTGTTCTTGTTAATGGCAGCATATTACAGCCTGACGTTGGGACGGTATGATTCTACCGGGTTTATCAATTCGACGACGAGAGCGGGACCTTTGTTATTGGCAAGCCGCATTGGTTTTTCTTTGTGCAGCGTTCATGTTGGTTCTTTGGATTTTGTAGGAAAGAGCGCTCAGCGACATGGGTTTATGGAATTCCCAGTTGGATATAGGTGTAGATACCTAGCATAGCACACACAGGCCTTGTTTATTTGATTGCGCAGCGAGTACATCGCTCGTATCATTAACTTTGTACCAAGTACGTATCTCTTCAAGATCGTTATCCCACCGTATGCATGGGGAAAATTGAACTGGTCTACGGTCCACACGAAGACGGCAACTTGCAGATTCGGTGACCCAACGTCAATATATGCTCTAGGGTGTTCACTTAACTCCTCGTACGAGATTGATCACTTTCGCTTTTATTATCGACACGGATCTACACATATTCCACGTCTACCTCTGAATTTCCCTCTCTTCGTATTTCCTCTCTAGGCCAACCCCTCCAAAGCAGGCTACTCTTGCCTCTCCCTTGCATCATCAATCGCCTTATCCCAATTATAAAACTTCATATAAATACCCTCAGATATCGTAATGCAGCTCGAACCCACCGCACACCCAGTCCAAAGCCCCACCAACTTCATATCCTGCTTGAAACAAAGGAAAAGCGCCAACGGCACCGCAATAACATAGTACACAAAGAGATTGCACCAGCCGCCGATGTTCTGTTTACCCAGTCCGCGGAGCAAGGCGTTTACAAGTGCAGTCGTGGAATCCGCAAATTGGAACGCAGCGAGTAGGGGCAGTACGGTGGCGACTATGCTGACGACTTCCGGGTCGCTGGTGAAGGCTTTGGGAAGGACGTTTCGACAAGCGGTTAGGAAGGCGAAGTCGATTAGGCCGATGGCGAGGAAGGTTAGGATGTACGTTTTTGTGGCTGTGCGGGCGGCGGAGAGGGAGCCGGCGCCGATTAAATTGCCCAGACGGGTGGAGACGGCTACGCCGACGGAGAAGGGGACGTGGTAGATGGCTACTGCTAGTGTCATGACGATTGACTGCGCTGCTAAGTGA